TCACAAAGTATAGACTACCAAATACTCAAACATTTGTGTTCCACGGAGAAATTTAAACAGAAAATATATATTCTTGCAATTACGAATATATAAGTCAAGTTTATTTGCAAAAACATAATATATAAGATTTCAGTGATTAATTATTAAGATAATGAGAACGGTTTCAAAAATATGGGTTGATAATTTTTTCAACAACTCAGTAACAAGTGACTATAAAATATATATATATATATATATATGTAGTAACAAATGGATATATCTCAAAAAATTAGGCTATAATAATGCATATAATCCTAAAGTTACCTTAAATTAATATCTTTAAATATATCATATTATCATGGAGATGTATACTTAAAATTATTTTTAAAAAAATTTATTTAATATATGACAAAAATTAATTTGAAAACATCTTAATCACTTAAAAAAAATTAAAATTTTATTGACTTAGGTATAATGGTACTCAGTGGCGATAAAATTTTATTGACTTAGGTACAATGGTACACCGTGGAAAACCTGCTGAAAAAGATGCTCCTCCACATGGCCAACACAACAAAATAAACAATTTGAGGGCGAGAACACCTGAAATACAGGGGATTACTAACTACATAAATGGCAAACCCTGTGTTAAAACCCCAAACTTACCTAAAATTTTTAATTAAACCCTCAAACTTTTATTAAAACAAATAAACTCCCAAACTTGGTTATCTAAGCAATTTAACTCTCTTTTTTTTTATAGTAGAGTTAATGCTTGTTTGTGATCTGCTTGTGTAGGTAAAGTATTAATATGTCACTATTGATGTGATGGGTATTGACCTTCTTTATGCAAATAAATCCTAAACAAACATTAAGTTCACTATAAAAATAATTAAATTATCTAAATTATCAAGTTTAACAGTTTATTTACTTTAATAAAAATATAAGAATTTAATCGAGAATTTAAAGTAAGTTTAGGGGTTTAACGTAGAGTTTTGACTATATTTAATATGAAATAAAAGAGATGAATTACCATGTAACATCCAATAAGAGTTTAGGTGAATTAGTATTTACTAAGTTAAATGAAGACTAAAAATTTAAATCTTTGTAAAATTTAAGCAGCTCTTTTTTCTATAAATATATATATATATATATATCATGCATCAAATTTTGTAAGAGCTCCCATAACATCCTTTTACTGTTGGATGCCCTAGATTTATTTAATATAATATATTATGTATAGTTAATACTCAACTTGTTGGAATAATAGTAGGAAATAAGAGAGAAATAAGGAAAGTA